TACACAATTTTGACTTTCTGACATGGACTCCCGCACTCTTCAATCACTTGGCCCTAAAACAGATCCTTGGATATTCTCACAACAGTTGACATAGAGTAACAAAAGTCACTCAGTGGGCTTTTTCTTATAAATTATCAACAAATAGCACCCAACAATAGCATAGCGTTTTCCATCTCCAACAAAGAAAGGAGAGTCATACTTAGCACTGCACTATCACAAAGTGAAACACTGTATTAGCTACACTGAATTTCTCAAGTAAAATAAAATGTACTTCCAGTCAGATTATAAACTGTCTCTAGGATCACACTGCTCTTATTCTCTTAATGCCATAATAAAATGTCAAACAAGGCGAAACAAAACAAAACCCTTTCATATCTAAAGTATACCGACCTCAAAAAGGAGCATCTGATTCACGCCTTGGGAAAGACAAGGTCAAAACAGGGAAGGGTGGGAGGAGAAAGATTAAACTTCATGTCTTGTTGCCAGAATCTCCCTCCCTTAAAAAGTAAACCAAACACCATTTGTTCTTATGGAAAATTGATGCACTTAAAATATTAGCTTCAGGACAGTGACTACCTGAAGAGATAATAGAAATGTAATGCGTACAAAACATTAAAAAGTCAAATTAACATTTTCACTTGATATTCTCATAGCCATTCAAAAAAAGATGCTCATACCAAACACATTACCAATTGGGATTAGCAGAGAAATCTATTTCTATCAATTTTACTATATTCTCAGGAGTACAGCTTTTACTACAAAACATATGAATTAGGTAAAGTTAAGAAAAAAGAGTCACCTTCTGCCTCATAGTATATATGTGCATCTTGAATGCATATTCTGCCTAGAAGTAAGTTAAGCTTCAAAAGTGCAGAATGAATGCGGAATGAATAACCTAGGATACAAATCATCTCTATTAGTACCTTGTGTTGCTGGTGACACCTCCTGGGTGAGGGGAAAACAGGTAATTGAAAGGATAAGTGAATACAAACACTGGCGTCCTTCTTATTACTACCAATTCAAAAGGCTTGCAAACAGAGGCAAAGTCTTTGCTCCTAGAAAACTGATTAATATTTCAATTTAAGTACCATCTCTTTCACATATATTAATTACTAACAAAAATGCTTCTTCAGGAAAAAACCCTAAACCGTAATAAATTTATATAGCAAGACTCCTCTCTATACCAACAAACAGCCATGTATTTTTTAAACCAAAATTTCCGTAGTCAAGATTAAAAATAAAGTGGTATAGGGAGTATGATACATTCAATAACGAATGCATAATAAATGGAAATAAACCCCAACATAGAAAAACGTTAACTAGTTAAGCAAGTTTTCATTTTAAATGTTTTCCCCCACATTTTTAAGTGAAAGGGAGCAGGAAGAGAAAACCTGAGGTCGAAAGAAGAAATTTATTATCCCCCCCCACCAAAAAAAAGCAAGAGAAAATGAAAAATTGTTTTTCAAATCAGTAATGCAGAATCTAATCCAACATGCTTGCTCACTTTGAGCCACACATTAATCTTTCAAATATTCACAATAAAAAGATTTAGGCTAGCCTTCCTTGTAAATCATACTAAGTTAATTTCTGTATACTTTGTTAAATTTAGTATTTTTAACTTCCTCTCTGCTTAAAAAAATGGAAACTCAAAACCTGATTTGTAAAATCCCTGAATTCTCCATTTTCCCCTAACTGGGATTTTTAAGTCAAACTGCTTTTATTTTTTGCCTTCTCAATTCTAAATGCAATACTTTATAAAAACATAATATGCATTCAAGTACTTTGTTACTTAAGTTTCATTTTCATGACAAAGGTCTGCTTTTTTTTTTAAACTTCTTATGGTAACTACTCTTTCCCAAGAATAGTCCCAGGTTTCAGTTGAAAACTACTCTCAAGACAGTGCAATTTAAGACCTCAGTTTTATCTGTAATCATCTCTATCTTCAATGAAAGATTCTCAAGGCACTGAAATTACTGATGTCCATAATGTGACTGGTCCAACCTAAAATGCATTCACAACTTTAAAAAGCAACCACGGTGAAGATACTTAGGAGGAAAGTGTGACAACCCCCTGCTCCACCAAAAAAAAAAAAAAAAGATTGCCCGTTGTCAAAATACAGGCTAAAGGCTAACTTGGCACGGAATTAAAGCTCAGACTAAAGCATTCAAGTTTTAACCAGTTAAAAAAATTCTAACACACATAAATCCCAAATTTGTAACTAGCCAAATAAAAATTGTCAAAAGAATAGATTGCATTTGAAAAGTATTTTGAAATGTAATTGCTAAATATTAACTCAAAATTTCTAATTATAAAAATACCCATCTACTGTAACTAAGTACTGTATCTTAACTTTAGATTAAACTAATCACTAAAGTAAACCTCAGAGTTTTATCTAAATTTAAATTTTTCAGCAATCCTATAGACAAAGGAAAATGTAATTCCTAACCACAAACAGAAGTCATGATTAATTTTTTTCAGACAATGATAAGCCACAAAGGGATAAAGGCAACTTGCCATATTTTGGAATTAAATCATCAGGCACTAAATAACATGATGCACTTCAGAAACTAATATTTTTCTTAAATCAAATTAAGTATATAATAAAGCTAACAATTACAGGAAGCAGCTTTATTCCACACTAAGGAATAGTCCCTTTTCCTGCATGTTTGTACTGGTCTAGTAAAGAAAAAAATCAATCAAATGCTGTCCATTTTAAACATCCTAGCTACTATACAGAAGCAATCTTTACCCCTGGGAGTTGAAAAGGCTGAAAAATCAAGACAGACTTAAGAGATGAAGTAAATCATATTATAAGGGGGGAAAAAACAATTATTTAGAATGCATTATCAGCTAGTGGCCTTCAACATTTAAAACGCAAATGTTTACTATTTCCAGCCAGAGAAATGAACAAACCAACCTTTGTTAGAGATAATGACATAACTGGAATTTCAGATTTGGAAGATTAAAAATTATTGAAGCCAAAGGTTAGAAACCTTTTAACAGAGAACCAACCCTCAAATTATAATTTAGAGATTTTTAGAACATAAAACCCTAAGTGAGAAGCCTTTTAACTACTTGGAGAAACTCAAATAACTCACTTTTTTAAATAACACACAGATGAAAATATTTCCAAACTGTTTTTATTATTTTCTATACCGTTTGAGTCAACTAAACATTTTAATTCAAAGAACACAACATAACTTTAATTAACTCTAAACATTATCAAGCCCTATTTTCATTTTAATGCCTACAAAGGATTCCCTCTAAAGAACTGTACTTAAGAAAAATAACATTAACAGATATTTTTACTAATACTACTAAAACTTTAACCTCACCAAAATATGCCAATGACAAAATAGCTTATTTTTAAGATGTGATAAAATTGTTCCACTAAACTTGAAGTGTTTTCAGTGTTTGAAAATACATATAAGGACACAAGGTGACAAGTGAAATGATCTGCTATAATTTAAGTTTCAACTAAATTTAATATAGGTCAGGTTATTGAGTATGCTACACATTTTGCTCCAAACATTTCTCGTTAAATAAAAAATTACTGGCGCCCCTTAGTGCTCACAAGTGGAAATACTCCATTTAAGAGTTAGAGCATTTTTTTTTTTTTTGACATTCCAGAAAGTTTTCTGCCTCCACAATGTTTCAAATGCCAACACAAATAGGAAAAGCAGAAGCCCTTAAAGGGGCAGCTCAAGTTTTCTCTGGAGCAATTTGAAATCAACAGATTTGCTGTTTCAACAGTGGGAAAACGCACTTCAATATGGGTTACTGCTGTACGTTAAACATGTATGTAAGCTAAAACGAGGACGTTGTAATACTGTTTTGTACTTTTAAAGTTGCCTCTGACTTTCATGACAACAAAAGGTCCTAGGAATCTTCTTTAACCATCTTTCATCACGGAAACGTTTCTGGCCTTTTGTTCTTTAGTGACTTCAGATTGCTTTTCTAGTTCTGGTGTAAAAATCTCGAAATTGTTGTGAAAACTCTAAAATTCACGTTCATCTCTATAAAACAGTTCTCGGTCTTCTTTTAGCAGCCCTCTGGTAATATCTCTGAACAGAAAAAAAGAAACTTCTTGCTGCTCGGTTTTCGAGACAGAATGTCGTGCTGGTCGTTTTCCTCCCTCCGGGTGTCCACAGAAACGCACGGCCATTAGAAATCCAGACTCCAGGTCACCGCCGAGAGAACTTGTTGAAGAAATTCCAGAGTTGGCCAAAATTAATCTTGTCATTCTTCACGCCCCACAGCTCACCAACAAATCTTACTTGCAAACTTTTACGCGTTATTTTCAACCTTTCCAAAGTCCTGATTTCACGTCCTACAAACTGGGACGGCGGCGCCCTCGGGAGAGAGCCCTCCGTCCGCCGAAGGTCCCTCCGGCTCGGGCCGCGCTCAGGTCCGTCCTCGCGGGATTTGGCCCCGCCGCCCCGACCCCCCCCCGGGCGAAGTCAAACTCCCGAACGGCTCTCGCTTCCCCAAACAAAAGGGGAAAAAGTACTTTTCGCTGACATTTTGTCCTCGCCTTCGGCTTAAACCCACATGACTTTCGGTCTCCGATGGAGTTCCTTTAAATTAACAAGCCCCGCGCCACCACCCTGCAGTATTCCCGGGCCACACCAACTCCAGGGAAGCCGCGGGCCCGGGGTTCTCCGCTCCGGGACCCGCCGCGACGCCAGGAGCCCCTCAGGGACCGTCGCGGGGCCGGTGTCCTTCAGGCGCCGGGGGGGCGAGGGGGTGCGAGGCCGGGCTCCTCTCCGGGAGGCCCGCAGACTCGCCGGGAAGCCGGGCGCGCGAGGACCGCCCGCCGCCGCCGCGCCCCACGAGCCCGGCCCCGGCGCCGCCTCCGAGCGCCCCGCCCGGGCCTCTCCGAGCCCAGGCGCACGGTCCCCGCCATCCGCGATCTTCCCGCCGCCCACCCCCACCCCCACGCGCGGGCGGGTGTCGGGCCCCGGGGAGAGGGGCCTCGGGGGACCGGCGCGGCGACTCACCTTCGTCCAGCAGCCGCTCGAGGTGGTTGAAGATCCCGCAGAAGTTGGGCAGGCTGCTCATGAGCTTCTTGTCGTTCATCAGCTGCATCAGGTAATCCGGGGTGGGCTTCGGCTTCTCCTTCGTTTCCATTTCCCCGACCATATTCCAGGCTCCGCCGCTCACTCCGCCCGCCGCCGCCGCCGCCGCCGCCGCCGGAGAGCAGGGAGGGGCGGGGAGCCCCGGCCGCCGGCCGCTCGGGACTCGGCGGCCCGCTCTGCTCCGCTCCCGCGCCGGGCGGCCGGTCCGCGCGCTCGCCGCGCTCTCCCCGCCCCCGCAGGCACTTTCCGCCCGCGGCCCGACGCGCGCCCGGCCCGCCGCTGCCGCTGCCGCCGCTCCTCGGCCGCCGGCTCGGCGCGTCCCTCACGAGGCCGGCGGGCGGGAGGCGGGTCTCCGCGGGCCCAGTGCGGGCGCGGGCCGCTCGGCGCCGGACGAGGAGGGGCCGGGCCGCCGCCGCCGCTGGCTCGGCCGGTCGCGCCCGCTCAGCCGCCGCCGCCGCCTCTGCCGCGGGCTCGGGGTCTCTCTGGGCTGGTCCGCGCCGCGGCCGCCTCTGCCGCTGCCGCCGCGCGCTGACTCCGCTCCTCCTCTTCCTCCTCCTCCGCGCCGCCTCCTCCTCCTCCTCCTCCTCACTCACTTGGTGGCGGAGTTCGCCTCAGTTCAGGCGGCGCTGCCGGCGGCGGCGGCGGCGGCGGCGGCGGCGCGGGGGGAGGGGCGGCGACGCGGGGCGGGGCGGGAGTTAGCGGGGCCTCCTACCGCCGGGCGCCGCAGCCGCGCCTTCTCCTGCCGGCGGGGCGGGCGGCCTGAGGGGCTGGGACGGGCGACGTGACGGAGTCTGCGCTCGGCGAGCCCGGCCTGGACGCCGGGCCAGGGTCGCCACCCCGGGCGAGCGAGAGGGGAGGGGGTCCCGGTACGGTGCCGGCGGGTGGGGGCGAGCACCGGGGACGGAGCGGCAAGGGCGCTGGTGCTTTCGACTGGGGCGGGAGCGGCAGCTCCGCCGCCGGGCCGGCTGGTGTTAGGTGAGGAGGTTTGCCAGCGGGACGCGCCACGGCTCTCTGGGGCTGCGTGTGCCCCCCAAAGGCACCATCCTCTTCCGCGGCTACTATAGGTTATTAAAAGCCTCTCATCCTTCCCCGCCCCCAGCCCCCAAAAAAATTTTATTTAACGTCCTGTTGCTTCACGGGGGGACTTTTGGGGTGGGCATCACGTGGCGCGACACGTAGCCGTAAGGTCCGAGAGCGCGTGCGCGCGTCCAGGGCGGTAGCCACGCCCCTCCCGTGGGTCGCTCCGCCCCTGTCCGGGCCCCGCGAGCGGAGGGGGATGGGAGGGGCGGGGCCTTCCGTGCGCCTGCGTGAGGCAGCCCGAGGCCGGGGTGGGGACGCGGCGGCGGAGGGGGCGTGGGTCCCCTCCGCGCAGTGGAGGCAGAAGCGAGAGGAATGGAGTCTTCGTTCCACCGCCTCCCGCTCCTCGTTCGCCCTGTCTCCGACCGCCTCTGTGTATTTGGTGGGGCCGCCCGACGACCACCGCTGTGCCCGCAGTCTCCAGCTCGAGAGCCACGCGACGGGCAGGAACCTGATGAGCGGCAGGTCCCGCGTGGGCGCCGCTTGTCCCGACGGCGTGGCCGCCAAGCGCACCTGGGTGCCTTGTGCAGCGTTCCGTTATTCGCAGCCGGCTGCGTGGGGGACGCGGCCGGGCGTGCGGGGCTGCGCGCCGTGAGGGCATCAGCATCCAGCCATGAACTGCAGCCACAATAAAGAAATGAAGGGAAGAGCACCGACCTAGCTTAAGAAGCAAGTCAACGTGCATGTTTGCAAACTTGCAAAATAATTAGAAAGAGGTTTTCATGCAGTATGATGGATTTCAAATATTTAGGTTTGGAAAAGAATTTTCTGAACAACAATAGTTCTTTTTGGTGTATAGAATGTTAAGTCACCACATCTGCATTGTATTGTAAGCCCTTTATTATTACATGTTCAATTAATAATGTAGACAAAATGATTTAGTATCAAACTGACAAGATTGTACGTGGCTGAGTTATCTGTTGTGTCTACTGTGTTTTAACTGAAGAAGTGAAGGTGAGGGTTTGCTTCAAATTCTAAGGAACCCTCTTTTAAATTTGAGTTGTGTTGGAATTACTAAATGAATTTCAAACAAATGTTCTTTGGCAAGTCGCTTCTGGGCTGTTCACTTTAAAACAGAGTGAGTTATTTTTTAAATTAAGCTACTTTGACAGAGAAAATGAAATTGGTAGACAAAAACATTTGACTCGAATATCAGTTCTGCAACATCCATCACTGAACCACAGAATGTTCACGTACTTAATTATCTGTTTAAGGGATAAACTTTATATATTCAAGAAATAGTAATTTGATCAAAAACTTATAGTGTCTTTAGAAACTAACGTAGGGTACATTTCTTCAGTACCTAGCCAAAACGATAGGTAGTTTTAAAGAGTTGTGGTGCTAAATTACTCATTTGATTTGCTGTGTTAAAGATTCAATCTCCCTTCTCGATTCCCTTATTAAACTCCTAGGCCCTATGCTAAATGCTTTATGTGTGTATCATTTAATCTTCAGTTCAACCTCATAGGCTTAGGTTATGCCGTTATCCCCATTTTACATAAGGGGAAACCCAAGGAAAAGAAGGTTAAGTAGCTTGCCAAGACTGTATGCTCATGAGTCCTCGGTCTCAGAATCAAATCCACTTATATTTTATTCTAAAGCCCATGTTCGTTGCCCCCTTCATAACTTTACCCAGTGAGTTAGGTTGAAACTTTCGACAATGTTTCACCACTTTTGACTCGTAGAAATTGCAATTTCACATGGCATATGGCCCACCCAATTCTTGTAATCTAGGTGAACCAGATGAGAATTAAAAGAACAATGAAGGGCAATATTCATTCCCCATGTGTTAAATCCCGTAGGGTTATAGCATTTGGTAATAGCTACTAATGTATTATCTCCTCAAATATACAGAGATCACTTCTCTGCTTACAGTTCTTCCATGGTTTTCCCCTCTTAGAAACCAAAGGCCTACCAGACCCTACATGCTCTGGTCCCCTGCTGCCTTACCGGCCTTTCATCCTCTCTTCCCCCAGCCTACTGGCTGGGTTCTTCCCCTGGAATCCTCCTGATCCTTAAACTGACCAGACATGCCTTCTACTCCAGGACTTTGCACTTGGTGTTTCCTCTCCTTTCAGAGCCGTCCCCACGTACCTGCAAGCCTGCCTCCTATCCTTTCTCAGGTCTTACCAGAGAAGGCTTCCTTATCACTCTACATAAAATAGCACATCCATGTACACAAACACATACACACACCCTCCGTTTTCTCTCTCCTTACAACCCTTTTAATTCTTTCCAGAGCATTTATTTCCACCAGACATGTTCTATCTATGGTGAAATTTGTCACCTTTCCCTGCACTTAAAAGCCTTATGAGAACAAGGACTTTGTTCTGTTCTGTTTGGAGTTACCAGCACCTAGAACAGCTCATGGTACATGTAGGCACTTACTAAAAATATGCTCAAAAAAGGTATTAAGTACTTGTTATGCATCAGGAACTGCAAAAAACCCTTACTTACATTATTTCTTTGAATCCTTGCAGCAAACATTTGAGATAGGTATGAGCAGCCAGATTTCAGAGGAGAGATGGCTGATGCTTGAGAGTAGTAAGTAGCTGGTCCCACACAGGCAGAACTGGTCCATAAAGAGTAATGCCTCTCCCTGGAGACATCTGCCCTGTGTGCAGGTGAACACAGCATTCTGCCCTTCTACCGTTCCTGCCTTAAGCATTTTTGGTATATGTTACACAATTAATTTCCAACATTTTGTAAGTGCAGTGAGGAATACAAAAATTCTTGGGATATGTCACTTGCATTCAAGAAGCTTAAAAATCTAAACAGTAATGTGGAGTCTTTAATAACATTATCATAAAAATATCTATTATATTCACAATAAGTTACCATGTACACAGTATATGTATCTGTGAACTTCCAAGATCCCTATAATAGCTTTTTTCACTGTAAAAAATTGTCATCTAATATGTTGACACTAAAAATAGAAATCTAGTATCAGTAATTAACCACTAGTGGAAACACATTTTCTGTTCTCTTTAATTTGATTGGCTCTATTTGCTTATTGCTATTCTTAACATTAAAATAGAGAATTGTAGTATTCCAAGCAGTTTTTTCTTCTTCACTATGGAGTTCTTGCAAAAAATGTTCCTTGGTCTTAAGAATCGGTCTTTGATGGCCTTTTGTCCCAAATGTTCTATATAAAAATCTGAATCCTTAAATTTTCCTAAAAGGGAGTGAGGCTTCCCTATAATCTGTATAAAGTAAATGTTTGTTTTACTGTCTTAACAGATTTCTTGACTATCCCTTTACATTGTGAGATGGCTTATCAGGTACTACTTAAAAGGTTGAAAATGACACATTTTAAGTGTAACTGTCTTAATAAATATTTGAATACCTGTTATTATCTAAATACCTGTTGTTAACCCCAAAGGCACTTACAGGCTAAGCTAGGAGTTAATATCTCATATGTATAAATAGTTAATTAATAAAGTAAGTGCTAAAGACCAAATGCTGTAGGAATGGAAATGAGCACTACATTCCAGGCCTGGACACCTAAGCAGGATTGCCCTGGGAGGTGGGTTTGATTTCAAGCTTGAGGAGAGTATGCTGAGAGAAGGCCCTGACAAACACAAGAAAGAGAAGCTTAAGGTAGGACTTGCAAAGAGGAGCAGAGGTCATATTTTGGTTGGCCTTGAATGTCAAACTACAGTGTTCTTAGAGAAGAGCCTTGGGAATTTTTTTTAATACAAAGAATAAAATAGTAACAGGTACCTTTCCGTAAGGCAAATGTATACTTGTTAGTGCTAATACAACATTTATAAAATGAAAGTCTTGTTCTTCAAAGACCTTCTAATGTTAATTGTGCTGCCTTTTTAAACCACTAGCATGATAGTTGCAGATGTAATACTAATATTTAGCTTAAACCACTGCACAGTGATTAAATGTTAACTAATGGTGTAAGGTTTCTATTCATTTGACCCTAAGTGAAATTGTAGAGGTAAAAACATTCGCAGCCAGGATGCAGGCCCTTGTGCCATGTAATCCCATCTTCATTCCAAACTTCAGTTAAAAAATAATTGTCTGTTAATGGTAGGAATATGAGAATGAATTAAAAATGCATTTTATTTTGATCAACTCTCAGATCAATTCATGATTTTATGATTACTAAACAATTTCTGGAGTGTTTCCCTGGATTGGGTTGATTTTTTTCCTTCAGATCTGGTTCCTTCAGAATGAATCTGTAATTACATTTTTTAATGTAGTAAACAGATACTGTTTGATTAATAATTATGCATTAGTTTTTAATAACTAATGTGAGTAAACATTTTATGAGCAAGGAAAGTGCCTACTCATAGCCCAGACATTAAATAAATGCCATTATCCTTCACTAAAATTTACCTTATAGCCTAAGAATTGCATTTTCCCCGTAATTTCTGTATATTCATGCTTTCTAAACAGAGTACCTAGAGAGTTCATTGGGACAAAAAGAGAACTATTTATGGAGTCCTTACAAACTTTAAGCACTTTGGTTGTCTCTTTGAGTACATGGCAGCTCTGAGATATTATTCCCATTTCACAGGGAAAAAGTCAAGGCTCAGAGAGTTAACTCAGTGACTTGACTCTCATGACACTAGTAAATACTAGGGACAAAATTCAAACAAGACTTTCCAAGTTCTGAGTGATTTACAGCGTACTGCTGGCCATTCTGTAAGTTAAATGTGGTAGCTATATCTTTTAGTGACTAAAATACTGTCATCTTTGAGCTTTCCTTTTTCAGTATTCTAACCAATAGTGATATTGAATCTTTTCAAACATTAAGCTGTTATAAGTCATTGACATAGTGCTGGTATCACATAGAAATAAGATTGCTGTGCTGGGTATAAAAAGCCCTTATAAATCCTATCTTAATGAGTTATGAGATACTGAGTAAGGAATTCAGTCTCCCTGAGATTTCAACTGAGTGACGTGGGGAGTCTGTCAAACTTCTAAAATTCTGTGATTCTGAATAAGATAGTCTCATCCATATCAACAAATTGACCTTGTTGTAATTTAGTTTCTGCACCCATGTATAGATGGGTGGTCACATGACAATAAGAAATGTATTTAAAATTCTTAGGTGTCCAGTTCTGCACTCCATATTGAAATTTTAAAAATTCTGTTTATGGATTTTTGTTTCCCTTAGGCAATACATTTGACTAAAAATCTTATATGTAGACATAATTTCCTTTTTTTGTATCATATTATAACTTAATAAAAAGTGGAGCGCTAAAAAATTGCATCAGGAACACCTAGTGGAAAAAGTACTAGGGAAAGCAAGCAGCTGTGTAAGCTGCTCACAGCCCAGAATACTTACCTGAGTAAATGGTAGCATCTGAAAATCCTCGCCTTCAGTGGCATGGGGAAAACAAGGGGAGGAAGGGGCCTCAGTGTCTGTCGCTGTGTGAACAGTTTTTGCAATGTGACTCTGATTCCTGAGAAATATTTGGGAGTGCCAAATAGGTCTCACTCTGCAAGAAACATACCACTGGGGTGGCAGAGCAGAGCATCCATAGTCCCTTGAATCTATAACAAGTCAGAAAATGAGGTCATCAGTTTTAATATTGAAAGGGGCTTGGTAGAGATAAAGTCTTGTTAGAATCACTTTAACTTTATTACTTATTTAGATGTATGATTAATAGCAATTCATCATAGCACTGATATTCAGCAAGAACACAACAATACAGCTGTATCAGTTTTTAAATTTTGAGCTATTTCCACACCACTCAGAGCATAGTCACTGCTCTTAGCCACACTGCCCAGCCTCCCACAAGAGACCCCTGGGAATTGCCCCACCCAGCCCCCACCCCCAGTGCAGCAATTGAAGAAATAATGCCCTGTGCCCTGCTCCGATCCAGGCTATCAGACACTTGGGTCATTTGTGCTCCTGGCAGACCAAGTGTTAAGAACATTTTGAATATTACCTCTATTTATGTCGGCTTATTTACACACTTAGAAAATTGCTTTTTTCATATCTTCATGTCCATTAAACCTGAGTTTACTAGTTTTTACTGATTGCAACTAAAATGTATAATTTTTTCATCTAAAGTATGTTCTCTGGGTATATATCCAAATTTAGAAAAGAAATTTATGAAAATCATGTTTACCCAGTTACCATGAAATACCAATCCTTCAGTTTTACTTTCTATTTCCCATCTAATAATGTTTTAATAAACAGGTTGTTGCCACAGCTAAAAAATGTTTAATCCTCCTCTTTGTGGTAAACCCTTTCTATCTCACCAAAGAAGTACCTCTGTTCTGCTTTCTCCCAGCCCTATATGGCCATTCACATTCCTTTGCTGAACTCTGCAAGTAACACTGATGACGCCAGCATTTACCATTTCCTAATAATTCTGCCCAAGCTGGTCTGTAAAAATGTGTTATAGTCACATTTTATAGATCTTCAAGGGCCACCAGCTTGATTAACTGGCATTAATTACACTTTTTTTCTCAGTATCCTTGGTAGAGAGCATTGTTTTTAGATGGAAATAAAATGTAGCATAGTGAAATGAGTAACACTTTTTGTTTAACAGTTCTAAAATGGGTGCCCTACATTTATAGCTCAAGCCTGGAATTAAGTAGTGGTGGCACATGTTGAAACTGACAGACAGTGGGGTGGGGCTTCCCTCACACTAATACTGTTTTTCTGACAAGGTAAAACTATTAAAGGAGCAGAAAAAATGTGAGAAGGGAATGAAGATCACTAAGCTGTTAAATTGTTAAAATGAAGAAAGAGAGAAAAGACTTGAGGTCACAGACTTCAAAGACAATTCTGTAAACTGTCCCATCAGCTGACATGCCAGCTGTAATCCGACTCCCCCACCAGTGCCAGCTTCCTCTCCGGCTGCCTGGCTGCTGGTGGGCAAGAGGCAGCAGGCCTTCCTCTGTGCCAGGTTCCTTGACCTCTCAGGACCAAGGGCCAGACTTGACTTTCTCCTTTCCCTGAGCTGCCCGTTTCAACATTTCAGCTGCTCGGTGACTGACTTCATGAACACACTTTCGCTTAATCAAACGGCCCCAACCAGGCCAGGCCACACTGCATGGGGCGTGAAGCAGCAAGGCCATGTTGTCGTCTGGGCTGCTGAGTGCTGAGCCTGGTGGGGGAAGGAGGCCTTAAATAGGCTCAGGCAGCTGGTGTCTAATAAGCACTTCCTTCTGCTCTGTGAAAATATAAAATAACACCTTGGCCCCACTGCATAACCACTTGCCAAGCCATAGAAATACTTTTCTTCTGGATACTGTAGACAAACTATCTTTAACCCCCAAGCAATGAAACAAAGTCCTAAAATACTCGCCCTGAAGAGTTTGCTGGTCATTGGAGAGGGCAGCTGAGTATGGATCTGGAGCAGTAGCGACAGAAATCTGGGTTCATATCTCAGCCCTGCCACTTACCAGACACTACTTAAACTACCTCTGCTCTCTTCTCACCTGTAAAATGGGGGAATTCAACCTAAGGATATTGTCAGGATTATGTGAATGAATGAATACAAAATGTCCAGCAAAATCCCTGGCACATGGTAAGCTTTCACTAAAGCATTGTTTAAAAACTGAGAGTAAGGCTTGGATATGGCTCATACTTACCAATGCTCAAACATACTTCCAATGTTTGGGAATGTGTGTAAATATTTCTATTTACAAAACATTGTATCCACAAAACTCTAAAGTAGTTAGTCATCAGTTACCTACCACTTCCTGTTGCACATTTCCGGTTCCCAGGACTGCACCAGGAAGTAAAAGGACAAATAACTTGATGAAAAGCAGCCTTGATCACAGGCTGGTTTGTAATCAGCAGCAGTGGCAGTTGATCTGCAGCTAGCCCCCGGGCCTCCACACTCTCCAAGACCCAGTTTTCAGCTGCCAGACAATAGAAACAGCTTGTAGCCATGGAACAAGTGCAGAAAAGGAGACTGCCTCCCTCCTGTTCCTGCCATAGACACAGCTGAGCTTGCAGTTGGCAGAGGGACCTGGGAAGACCACATCTTCAGGAAGGTCCAGGATCAAGGTGGACAGACACCACCCTCCCAGACTGGCAGGAGCTCCCATGACAGCTGCATCAACCCCATTCTTGTGATCTAACCCTGACAGCTGTGGGCCAACCTAGAGCTTAAAATGCATGACCAAGCATCTCTGGGACTTCATTATGCCAGTTCAGGGCTGTCTCTGATCTCTGGCATGGATGCTTACAGTCAGCAAGCACAGGTGAGTGAACAAGAAGGGGCATTATCTATCTGCCCCACTGCCTGCTCAGCCAGACCAGGCTTGTTTTCTATCTCCACAGACATTTGGCAAGCAAAGCAAGGTGCCCCCTGCCCCTTTTAATCAGATAGCATGGGGAAAAATAGCTCATGTTTTGAGGACTTAAAATCTGTGAACATAACAGGAGGGAAACAAACGTACACACACAAGTGGCTTCTGCAAGTCAGTCTCATTGGGTCACATATGAAGCAATGAGAGGACAGGACAGCTCTTGGCTCCCAGGGCCTTGCCTGAAGTGAACTTAATCTCTCCAAGTGAACCCCCAGAAGTCTCAGCTTCAACAAGACTAGACCTCTGAAACTGTGATTCCCACGGCCCCAGGATCTGTCACCACCACCCAGCCCCCAGCTGCTAACACAGCCTCCAGAAACTTTACCCAGGGAGCCAAAACTTTATCTCAGTGGTTCTCAAGGTATCAAAGTGGTTTCCAGAACATTATGTCGAAATGAAGTCCAGAGCACACAATTACATAGGGTAGCTGATAGGGAAAAAAGGAATCTTTCAAATAAACAGTTCTACAATTATGAGTCTGGCTTCATAGTGAATCACATTTCCTGATATAATACTAATGTTGAAAAAAATTTACATTTGTATTATATGTTTCTTGTTACTCAGGGCGGTGAACTGGGCATGTGATTCAGCCTGAACTATAATTGGATCTTTGACATTATAAGGGCTTGATAACTTTCCTCTTGATATCTATTTTACAGGAATGGCTTAGAACTTGTATATAACAATTACCCACAAAGTGAGGGTAATGCTATAGACCACAGCAGAGAACTTAAATCACCTATTTTTATACCAATTTTCTCAAGGCAAAAACCTAGACATAGCATTAGCTGTTGTTCGTTTGGTGAATAACACAAGCCCGAGTCCAGGTCTCCACCCTGTCTTGGCGTGTGCCTCCCCACCCAGCCACAAGCACCCCTGCCTGCCTCAGCCATCCCCCCTTTTCCCTGTCAGCTTGGCCGGAGAGTTATTTCCCACCAGGCCAACAGCCTCTCCACACAGAGTCTCAGAGGCACTATGAGTTACTTTAATCTTGAAACTTGCTGGTGTGATGTGATAGAATTTTTTATTTCTAACATAATGTATGCGTATTAGCACCATGATGTGTACATCCTGTAACCTTGCTCTTAATGTCTACCATTGAACTTCCTGGATGGGAAACTTTGCTGGCATCTTCATGTAGCATTTTAAAAAATACTTAACATAAGATTTCTCATTGTCGTCTGTCCTTCATTTGGCACTGTATTCAGCAGCCTCAACTTTGTGCAGCACTCATTAGCGATGTCATTCTAGTAAGGAAGCAAAGGGGAACTGCGTGAAGAGGAAAGAGTAGAAGGGAAACAAATAAATTTGCTAGGAAGCGAGCTTAATAGCCATTCTATTTTTCAAGTTCTAAACACAAAAATACCACTCCTTACCTGCTAGCTCAATCTTTAGCTCATTTGTCTTTCAACCCCATAGGATTTATTGGGCTTTAGTATACTCCTGTATATCCTAAAGTCCAATTGGTTCCAGGTGTCTCAAGAGGGCTTTAAGATTCTGTGCTGTGTTTGGAATTGTTTGCAAGATCTGCATTAAGAAAAGGTCCCAGTTTCCATGTAATGTTAACCACAGGAAAATATTAGAAAGAATTTCAGAGAAGAAGAACTAAAAGGGTATTTGGAACTGTCATTTGTTTTTTATTGGAATTGAATTAAATTGGTGCTCAACTTCACAAAACTAAAAAACACTGATATTCACTATCTATTTTCCCGCTTTGATAGTCAGAAGGAAGCCCTGGATCTGAAGAGAAAATCTTCATGCTGCCTTGTTGTACCTGGGCCTCATCTGCACACCAACCAGAAGTGTCAACCCAATAGTTTAGGAGCCAGTGTTCACCCTGGGCAATCAACAATAAGCCTTGAGTGACTTCAGCTGTCAAATGTCTCTGATCCCCAAATTCTTACAAAGGAGACTTGCAAAGATTGTAATCTTTCCTTCCTAATATACTTTAAACTGCTTCTGTAATAAAGAGGTAAGTGTGTACACTGGCTTCCACCTGATGCTGACATGAAAGTCTGTATGACACAGATCCTTCTTCTGAGAGTAAGTTCAAGAAGTAGCCAGAGAGCTATGCACTGCACCTGACCCCCATCCCACCCTCTGCATGCCAGGCCAGCTGCCATCCCCAAGGCCCTCAGCTCACCTGCTTCCCTTGCTCCCCACAAACCCCTGGAATTGAGGCCACTCACTTCCCCTGTCCAGTTCCTCCCATGGTTCCTCTACCAGGGCCCCCTCTGTGGGCCCAGGACGGGACTGACACAGATTCCTCTACCTTTCCTCATAGCTGCTCCTTCCAAAACAAACACCAATTAGAAAAAAGACAAAGGAGTTTTAGTTATAGGAAGGTCAGAGTTTTAAAAATCACAAATACTGGAAAAATTACAAAGTTGCTAAAGAATCCCAGAAAAATCCAGTAGAGGTTCCCAGAGCCTGACCTCATTTACATTTCAATGGACCCCTGGGTCAACCATTTCAAATATTTTCCAAACATTCTTATTAATCTTTTCTGTAGTTAGAGGTCCCCAGAGCACCTTCTCTGTGGAGTGTGGAGCCCAGCCCTTGGAGGGGGTGTCCAGAGCCAATCTCTGACCTTGTGACAAAGGAGTCCTTTCTCCTTCCCCTCCAAGCCTTTTCTCTCTTGGGCTTGAGGCTACCTGTTCTGACCTTCAGTTTGCCACCATGGTCATAGAGTCTCCGTGCTGAGGTCTTGGGGATCCTTGCTAACTGCCCCTCGTCCCACACCCGAGCCTTCCCCACTAAGCCATTCTTCTCCTATTATGAGATTGCTTCTCTGCTCCCCTGGATGCCTCTGGCATAGAGCAGGATGTGAGTCTCTTTGGCATTGAGTTAAATTTGACCCAGTGAGGTGATACAATGATGAACAGCTCTGGCTCTGTTGGGATGTTGGGCGGACACCTTGACCTCAGCTATTTTTGAGGCTGCAGATTGGGATAGTAATAATAGCCACTTTACAGTGTTGCTGTGAGAATGAAATGGGGCAATGATAATCAAGCCCATAACATATCTTGGAATACAGCAATTGCTCAATACACATTGGCTATTAGAATTATTATTAACATCCAGTTATCACTTTTAGGTGACTTACTTCACGTCATGCACCATGTGAGGCATTAGGGATACAAAGGAATTGTCTCTCCCTTCAAGAAATTTGCAAGGTGGGAAAGGCGGCGAGTAAGCCAAAAATTACCAAACAGTGTGCTGTCTTCTAGTGGGATTGTGCTTTAAGTCCCTCAGGAATGTTGAACCATGAGCAACAGACTCCACCTGAGGTCAAGAACAGGGGAAGGCTTGCAGATCATGGTAGAAAAGTATTCCCACAGGGGAAGGTCATGTGTGCAGGCTGTGGTGATGGCTGGTCTTGCCCTTGCATGAACTCTCCCATTCAACAATGGTTCTAATTTAATGAATGGATCCAAGCTTCCCAAGGGTCCTGTGGACTTAATAGGAAAAGCCTTCTGGAGCCTGCCTCTCTGAACACCCAGCGCTCAGCTTCCAGCTTGGCCTACAGATGAGCCTGCCTCCAAGAGGCTGTGCACAACCCGAGAAACAGATTAATAATCATGAGGCTGGCATGACCTGGGCCCTTTGCAAACATCATTTCATTTAGTCCCCAGCATCCCTGTCTTATATCAAGTCCTTGCTCCAACAATTTCTGATTTTGCAACCATGGGCAAAATAAGTGACCTCTCTTTGCTTCTGTTTCTTAATCTCACAATGAGCAGGCTTATCCCAACTCATAGATAGATGAAAGGACTATGAACAGCCCTGGCACATAATAAGAACCCAACAACTGTTATTATTATGCCAGTACAGGTTCTGGTAGTTTTTGACCCATTTGCAGGATGGTGGTGACTGATGAGGCAAAGACTGATGGGAGTTTGCCAAAATGATTTCCTCTTCTTCCTGCACACACCGCAATTTACATTTGCCATGTCTCTTAAGTTAGGCATGGCCAGGTGACTGAGTTCTAATGCTAGAATATGAGCTGAGGTGATGTGTACCCCTTCCGCACCTACCCATAGATGCAGCTATCCCCCATCATCAGCTGTCCCATCAGGGCCAGCAGAAACGGAGACTTGTTGAAGACGTGGGTCCCAGCACGACTGGAGAAAGGCCATTTGGCAGAGCTCTTCACCTGCACAGTTCTGTCACTTACTGAAATAAGAAAGGCATATTTATTGTATTTAAACAAATATGCCCTTGGCTAGTAGCCTAGCCAGCCCTTAACAGCACAACTCATATACCCCAAAGCTCAATGAAGGAACAATTTTGCAGTGAATGGTCAGAGCTGTAGTGGTCCACCCAGCATCTTTCCCCCTTCTCCTTCTCCTCTCCATAAAAAAACCTCTTGCGCTGGACATCTAGTGTGATCCTGGTGTGGCCTAATCCTCTGCCACCAGCAGCAGGCGGCGCTTGAGGGACTCCACGTCCCTCTGGGGCAGCCGCCTGACTCAAGGCAGGCACTGCTACCACTCCCACAGCTGCTTCAGGAAAATGGTGAACTCCTTTTTGGTGGGATTGCTAGCCTTAGTAAATGAAAATATTTTAGGGACATGGTGGCTACAGTGGTAATGGCCACAGAGAAAGAGCTTACCAAAGAAAGAAGCCAACACTGAGGAGAGCAGAGCTGAATGGAAGAACATCTCCTCAATGACATCATTTGAGTTCCTTCATTCATTAATGTCTGATTCATATTTCCCAGTTGGTCGGTGAGCCTCCTTTTTGATTAAGCTAATTAGAGCTAGTTTTCCCTGTTTGAAACTGCAAATTCCCAAATCAGCTGCTTTGCTCTCCTCGCCCCCTCCCCCACTCCCCCTGCAGTTACCTTGGTTCTCTGGCTCTGAACACTCTTCCCCCACCCACCCAACACCTGCAAGCCATCTGGATAATCCTATCTTCACATTATATGGAATATTAAAATTCCTTAAATAATCAGTGATGGTAACAGGCATGACTTCCACTGAGGGAAGAAGAATATTAGTCACTCTCATGTGTCTCAACTGAGAATACTCATTCTTAGGGAGGACTGAATGTGCTACAAAACAAGGTCCATTAACACAAACTCACCAAAAAACTCCACTTTTTTTTAATTGCACTTAACTTTTATTAAAGATTTCTGAAAGTAAGTAATGAATTTGAGAGTTGGAATTGCAAATTTCCTCGACAATATGTTGCCTTGTAGTGGAATTTGACCAGTAATACTTTAATATGCTTTTCCTTTAAAGCAACCTAGTTGCAACCCCAGAGATTTGCAAAAGGGGAAATAACCACATAAAGTAATTTTTACACTTAGTTGTACAGGTTTTCCTCCCGACCTTCACGTCAGTCTTTTAGTCATTTGGTGCAATAGTTTATATAATATATACTCCACTTGTTTTGTCTCAAGTAATATCACGTATAACATACTTTTTTCTTTGACTTTTATTTTGAAATTACTACCTAAACCAATTCCTTATAAAAATTGGTAATTTGCAAAAGCTGCTAAACTTTTTACTCTCATTTTCTTTCATCCTGGTGAAAACCAGACTGGCCATTTGACTTCCAAGTTTTCCTTCTCCATATTCATTTCATTATATGATGGCTTTAAATTCATTAACTCAGTGAAACCACACCTATGGCAAAAGATTTTTCTAGCTTCCTCTCATTTCTTTATCTTTACCTTCCTTCACTTCCCCATGCTCTGCACACTCCAGTGCCTCCAAAATCAAGTGCCAGGAGTTCTAACTCCATGGAGAGTCTTTAGGTTCAGAGTTAAAAAAAAAAATATTGTTTATGTTGGAGGAGGGGAGAGTCAGGAGTTACTGTTTAACGTGTACAGAACTAATGTTTGGGATGATGAAAAAGTTCTAGAAACAGATAGTGGCAAAGATTGCACAACATTGTGAATGCAGTCAATGCCACTGAGTTGTACACTTAAAAATGTAGTTTTATGTGTATTTTGACACAATAAAAAAAATCTTGTTCCTACTTCCTGTCTTGTACATTTGTATACATCACTAACTATAGATGCCTCACTCATATGGATGGCAGCAACTGAGAATGAAGAAGTCAAATATAAAGTGTAACGCAATTTTGTTTCCTTAAAAAAAAAACTACAAGATAGAACAAAGCATACACTGCTTTCGCTAGCTGTCTTTGGCAAACCGCTCTGTTTGCTCATGCGCAGAAAAAAGCCAAGCCCTGTCAGGGTTTTGACGAGAACAAGATGAATGACCTCCTGGAGACCGTAGGGTTTGTATTCGAATTTCCATCCCCTTTTCATCCTTTGTCCCCCTTTCTTGATTCACATGCAGATTAACCCAGACCAATTCCTCACTAAATACTCCTTTTCACTCTAGTTTGGAAGGTAGAAGGAGCATCTAAATATTTATGAGGCTTTTTCTCCCGGGTTTATGATGCGCTCCTGTTGGCTGTTGAGGAATTACGTTAATGAATGCGTGCCTGCGCTCACCAACACAGAAACCAGGCGAAGGGGCAAAGAAACACACACAGCGCTTTGTCGGCACTCACCAAACAGTTCCCACGAAAAGGAGGAAAAGAGAGGGAGGAAGAGATTTAAAATCTGTTGCCGGGAGAGAAATAAATGGTACAGCTCAACACAAAAGCAAGAGCAAAGTTTTATCTTCGCTTTCTGGAATCGCAAATGTAACTGTTGTTTCAAGTCAGTACAAATGTGAAACAAAACATGCCGATTGAAAAATGAGAACTGGCTCGCCTGGTTCTTCCCAGTGATGAAGAAAATTAAGGGCAGAGTTTCAATATTGGAAATAAATCGTTTATTAGAGAACAAAGAACCAAGCAACGTTTTCTTTTTAAGCAGCGCTTATGTTCCTTCAATGCAGATAGTTTGGGCACGACCCCATAGGAGGACCGGGGTTTGTTGTGCTTCCCAGACAGGATGTTTTTTTTCTGTCTCTTCAGTGCCTTGTCAATACTGTTTTCATTAAGCTAGCTAAATTCCACTTTAAAGTGAACTCACCCTAAAAGTGTTTGCATCAGATTGTATCCAGTTAACTTAATATCACACTGCCAGGAACAGTCAGTCGTCTTTCCAGCCTTTACTCATCTTTCTGCCTCCCCCTTCTGTTCTGCTCTCCTGTGAACACAGAGGCCAGAGCCCTCAGTCAAGGCCCTGCACACCCAGGATGCAGAGGCTCTGCAATTATCTTTAATATCTGTGCATCAGGACATCAGGTTTAAAAGTATAACTTTTTTCTGTTTTAAAAAAAATATTACCCCTCTACTGGTATTTATTTCCATCTGAAAGTCATAATATACAGAAAGATTAAGGTTGTGTTTGCCATTTTCAAAACTTCTTGCTGGATTCTAGAGATACTTAGCCTGGCCCTTGTCAACTCTCTTCATAGGGTAATGAAAAAGGTGGAGAAATCCTACCTCAATCCCCATACAACCCAAACTCCAGCTGAAGGGAGGGAAAGCAGAAAATAAATCTCCAACTTTCCTTTCAACATACAAAGGCTTCCCTACACACCTCTGTGACAAACTGAAAACTAATAGTTGATTGTTAGTATTTCTTTTTTCCTTTCACACTAGAGTAAAATACAGAACATACTCTCCTATTCCCCACCCACACACACATACACACACAAATCTGGTTATTACTTATTTGAAGTATAGATGATTGACTAGTCTATTTAGGTAACTAGTATTATATTCTAAGCATTATATATTCTTAGCTTACAACCAGAGTGTCTTTAAATCAGTTTCATCAGTAAAAACTAAGACAAAATGTTTCACACAGAAATTTTTAACAGTCTTCTGATACAATGACAGGGAATTATATTAGCTCAGCCTTATTTCACTGTCATTTATTACTTACTTGTCTGAGTGAATAGGCACTGGGTATAGCTAAGTTTAAAGAAAACTGTATCTATGTTTTAAGAAAAAAATTTAGTGAAAGGTTCACAAAATTGTTACAAATTCACCTTGAAAAAAAAAATTCATTACTTGGAAATTATTTCCAGAACAGCATTTTCTGTAAAACTTGGGAAATCAGTGTGAGTGTTCAGTAAATGTTTTTAAGTGAATATTCCATGGCTTTGATAGAAAAAATTAAATGCACACATAAATTTAGTCATCAATTTGTACATAAATATATATATAAACCTAACTACTCCCCAGACAGTGTGTACATGGACTGACACATCTGACAAAAGCTGGTTTGTGAACAGGGGAAACTGTCCAAGAAGAATTTGCACAATGAAATAATCATCATATTTGGTCCGTACAGACAACCAGTCAATTTAGTGAAAAGAAAAACTTAACTACTAATAGCCTGCTATTGACCAGAAGCCTTATAGATAACATAAACAGTCAATTAACACATATTCTGTATGTGTATATATTATATATATGAAATATATAATATATATCACATATATATGTGATATATATTATGTATAATGCATACATTAAATATAACATATTTTTATATATACACATATATTTAATATGTTTCTGAAGACAGTTTATAATTTAATCACATGCTTTAAAAAATATAACTACATATGCACAAAACAGGCAACCCAGCATTTCTACTCTCAGAAACCTGTAGACCTCTTTCTTTTCTAACCTCTGCTTTTCAAGTGCAACTTCATTATCATGGGGTTTCATGCAAATAGAAAAGCAATGCAGAACATCATCTGTCAAACCAGAACTGACCTGAATTTGCATTACACCGGCAAGGAATAAATGAAAATAACTATATGGAGTCTTAACTCAGAACTGAAATATTCAAAATGACAAAGTTTGTGTTTAGTCTATATCATGGTTTATATCATGGTTTGATGTTTCTCAAACATTTTCAAATATTTCAAATTTATATTACATTTGATCCTTGAAACTTTCACCCAACTCATTGCAAAGTTTTAAACACTACCTATTTCAGAATGTTTACACATAGTTTACAACTGGCAGACCAGTCGCCAGCTGGTTTCACGGAAGCATTAGGAAAATGGTACACATTGGGATATTTTTCTAACCTAAAACTATTACTGCCCTACATTGATTGAGACACATGTTTCACAGCTTAGTCTAAGTCCAAAGTGAATTTAAAAGTTTACTGGCTACATGCCAATTTCAAACCTACCCTGACCTGCCTTTCCTTGTCCCCAGATAGTGCGTACATGGACTGA